CCTTCCGCAGCTCCTGACCCTCAATGTGGTTTTCTCTTTTCTTCTAGTTGTAGAATTTCCACTCCACCAGCCTTCCGGTAGTTCTGGATGTTGACCGTCCTGTCCTTTTATTGCGTTTCTGAAGTTGTTGTAGAAGGCAGCAATCTCGGTGTTCCCCTATGCCGATCTTTGTTTTGACTCCCTCCCCAGCCTCGTCCTCAGGTACCAGTCCCCTTCCGCGCGCTCTTGAGCCTCCGTACCTTTGCACTTTACTTCCGCAGCTCCTGACCCTCAATGTGGTTTTCTCTTTTCTTCTAGTTGTAGAATTTCCACTCCACCAGCCTTCCGGTAGTTCTGGATGTTGACCGTCCTGTCCTTTTATTGCGTTTCTGAAGTTGTTGTAGAAGGCAGCAATCTCGGTGTTCCCCTATGCCGCCATCTTAGTTTCTCCGGGGATTGGGAAATTTTACTCTTCCTTGGATCCCTTTCAACACTTACCTGCCTACACCCATCCCTGCCTTGCCCCTCCTCCCTCCTCTTAACAATAAAAGATGCCCGAATTCCAGATTCTTCTTAAAATGGATTTGATAATTAGTTCATCTTCTCAAACCAGGCTTTCTCAATCAATAAACCTTGCCTCATTTCAAAACTCTGATCCATTGAATATTGGCCTTTCTTTTGAAGTATCAGGCCCACAAACCTTGGACCTGTAACTTACACAGTGCCTGTTTAAAAAAAAAACTACAATGAGAAAATATAAGGCACTTAAAAAAATTAATTTATAAGCCCAAACATCAAATCAGCTTTCAGTTAGGTATTATTTTTGACATTCTCTAAAATTGGCTCAACTTACCCGTGTGAGTCCTTTTGTGAGCCTGGAGCGATTTCTCCCGTGGAAACACCCTGTTACAGATGTTACAACGAATTCTGCTGGACGAATGCTCTCCTTCATTTATTAAATCCCGGACAGTATCTGCTCTGGGTCGACCACGCCGGATTCCATCCTGTAAACAATTTTATATTTTAAATATAATAGTATAAACACTATTATATTTCTTGGACTCCACTCATTATAGCAAAATATCATAATAAATGATTTTTTAAACTCCTTCTTGAGTGACATCACCAAAAATGGTAGAGTAGATAGTTTCAAGGACCCATCCCTCCCCAGATCACTGAAAAATCGAGTTGTCACAATCAGCTGTCACAGCTCCAGGAAATCACAGCAACTCAGTGAACACGGAGTCAAGAAAAAAGCAACTTGAAATAGTAGGAAAGCTTTACAGCATTTTGCACTTGCCCTTGCCCCTCTCCTTACTACACAGTGGTCTTGAAGCAGCAGCCTTCACTCTCAGTATGGGAACCTAGTCCCTGGCTCCAGAGAGAGCAGAGCAGAGCAGACATTATTATGAAAGAATTGTGTCTGTTTGACCTGAAGGACTGATGCAGGGTGTCTTTGATCTAACTTAGAACTCTCCAGGGTATAACAGTGCTACTCAAAACCTCTGTGAGGCAACTGACAATGTGCTGCCACCTGGGGCAAAAGAATTCAACTGAGGCAAACAAATATGCCAAAAGCCTGGGAGGAAACACTGGGGAGAGTCTTTGGGAAATTACGGCATTGGGAAGTGCCCTTGAAGCCTAAGGACAGGAATTGAGAAAGCCACACACTTGCTCAGGGTGGGAAGCATGCCCAGAAAAGACCTAAAAAGGCGGGAAGCTTTCACCTTTGGCTGATGTTAGGCTCAACACAGCAGGAAATGAAGACTAAGGCAGAGTTGCAAAAGAGCTAAGGCACAGAGCTATTCTGCAACAATTACAAGGTTTTTTCCCTTTCTTTTTTTGACTCCAGCATTCAAGATCTCTCTCAAAGGATGAGCTCATCACAAGCTAAAGAAACAGACTTTAGAGAACAAACATAACAAAATAGAGTTTACAAAAACAGTCTAGAAAACTTGCCAGACAACTAGAATCCACAGCAAACAACAAAAACAAATTCTGAGAAAGAAGGATCTGATTTTCAGAGTTACCACATTATAATGTTTACAACATCCAGTTTTCAACAAAATATTATAAAGCATGCAAAGAAACGAAAGCATGGTCCATATAGAGAAAAAATTAATAGAAATAGACATTGGCGTTACTAGACAAAAACTTCAAATGAATAAGGGATAACAAAAAGTCAGGAGAACACTCTCTCAACAAATAGAGAATATCAATAAAGAAACATTATTTTTTTAAAGAAATTCTGGAACTAAAAAGTACAATAACTGAAATGAAAATTTTGACTAGAGATCAATAATGGCAGATTTAAAAGGGCAAAAGAAAAAGTTAGCAAGTTTGAAGATAAGTCAACTTAAATTATCTAGTTAGGGCAGGGATGGGAACATCTGGTCCACAGGCAGTATAAACCCATGAGATCATTTGGTCTGGCCCTACCAAGACATTAGGGTGAGTTAATTAAATGTATGACCAAAAATAGTGGGCTAATTTTTAAGTTGATACTTTTATATGGCCTGTGAATAATCCTATATAATAAAAGTCTAATATGCAAATTGACCAAATGGCCGATCACTATGATGAGCATTGACCACTAAGGGGCAGATGCTCAACGCAGGAGCTGTCCCCAGCCCGCAGGCCCTGACTGGCAGCAGCAGGGCCAGCGAGCGGGCAGTGCCAGGCCAGCCAAGGTGGGTGCCAGTGAGGGCCCCTGATCACCCCGCCAGTTGCCCCACAGATCAGCCCTGATCACTGGCCAGGCCTAAGGAGACTACCCATGCACGAATTTCGTGCACCAGGTCTCTAGTGTTATAAATATTCAAATGGCCCTTGGCAGATTCCCTACCACTGAGTTCGAGAAATAAAAACAGGAAATAATGCGCCTAAGACACCTGTAGGCATCAAGTGTTTTAGTCCTTTCAGGCTGCTATGATGAAATACCAGACTGGGTAACTTACAAACACAGACATTTATTTCTCACAGTTCTGGAAGCTGGGAAGTCCAATATCAAGGTGCCAGCATGATCAGGTAAGGGCCCTCTTCCTGGTTCCTCACCAGCGCCTTCTCACTGTGTCCTTACACGTGGTAGAAGGGGAAAGGGTTCTCCCCAGAACCTCTTTGATGAAGGCACTAATCCCATTAATGAGGGCTCCCACCACCTAAGCACCTCCCAAAGCACTCCCCAACACCACCATCTTTGCAGGTCAGGATCTGAACACACAATTCTTCAGGAGAGGACAAACATTGAGACTAAGTATACCAACATAATTGAAGACCCAGGGGCAAGAAGGAAAGGAGCAGAAAGCATATTTGGAGAAATAATGGCTGCAAAGTTCCTAAATTTGATTAGACACAAGTCTAAAGATGCAAGAAGCTCAATGAACTTTAAGAAGAATAAAGTAAACAGATACACAGAGACACATTACATCAAACTATCAAAAGACAACTACAAAGAGAGAATCCTGAAAGCAGCAAGAGAGAAGCAGTTCATCACATACAAGGAGTCCACAAATAAGATTAATAACTGATTTCCCAGGAGAAACTAGTGAAAGCAGTGAGAAGACATGCTTAAAGTGCTGAAAGAAAAAACAAAAGTCACCAATAATCTATCCTTCAAAAATGAAGAAATCAAGCATTCCTACATAAACAAATGCTAAGAGAGTTCATTGCTAGGATACCTGCCCTACAATAAAGCTAAAGGGGGTTCTTCAGGCAGAAATAAAAGGATATTAGACAACAACTCAAAGCTGCACTCGAACAGGAATAAATGTAACAACACAAGTCAGAATTATTGTATTTTTGGCTTGTACCTCCTCTTTTCTTGCCTATATAATTTGAAAGACAAATGCCAAAAGTATAAAAAAAAATTTAATCTATATTAATGGGAACACAATATAATGTAATTTGCAACTACAATAACAGAAAGGGGGTAAGAGCTGTATAGGAACAGTTTTTTATACTGCAGAAGCTAAGGTTGTATGAATGAAAATGTTACACTACAAAAAATAAGTTAAACAAAAAGAAGGTAGTAATGGAGGAATTGAGAAACAAAATAGGTCTAGACATATAGAAAATAACAAAATGGCAGAAGTAAATTCTTCCATATCAGCCATCACTTTGAATGTAAACAGATTAAATTCTCCAACTAAAAGATAGAGATTGGCAGAATGGATTAAAAAAAAAAAACATAATCCAACTATATGCTGTCTACAAGAGACTCACTTTAAATTCAAAAATACAGATAGGTTAAAAGTGAAAAATGGAAAAAGAGATAATAGTTATAAACACATACGTACCTAATAAGAGTCCCCAAACTGTATGAAGGAAAAGTAGCAGAACTGAAGGTAGAAAGCGATAGTTCAAAAATAGCTGGAGATTTTCACTGTTAATTAATGGACAGGACAACTAGATAAGTCAACAAAGATATGGAAGACTTAACACTATAAACCAACTTAACAGACATATACAGAACATTCCACACAAAAACAGCAAAATACACGTTTTTCTCTAGTGCACATAGAACATTTCCCAGGACACACCATATCTGGTCACAAAGCAAGCATCAATAAATTTTTTAAAACTGAAATCATACAAAGTATCTACTTTGACACATATGGAATGAAACTATAAATCTGTAACAGAAGGAAAAACTGGAAAATTCACAAACATGTGGAAATTGGACAACACACTGAAACAGCCAATGGATCAAAGAGGAAATCACAGGGAAATTAGAAAATACTTTTGACATGACTGAAAACAAAAATACAACATATCAAAACTTGTGGGATACAGTTCTTGGATCCAAAGGCTTAAGATAAGACAGCAATTGCTGCCCAAACCCATCTAGAGAGTCAATGCAATCCCTATCAAAATTCTAAAGACCTTTTTTGCAGATATGGGAAAAGCAATCCTCAGCTTATATGGAAATGCAAGAGGCTCCAACAGCCAAAACAATATTTAAAAAGAACAAAACAGAGGCGAGCCGCTAAAGGGGAAGCGGTCCTGCCCCGGTCCTGCTCCTCTTTGCTGGCTGCTTGGGATGCCGGCGCTAAGGATGGAGAAGCTTTGTTCCCGCGTCCCCACCGAGGGCCAGGCTGCGGGGGACGGCCTGCCTGGCTTTGCGCGAGAAACGAACTCCTGTACCTGACGGGCATAGTTCCCCTCCCGGCCTGAGCGGAAGGACCCGGAGCCCAGCTGTCAGCGCGGACAGTGCAACCAATAACAGAGGCATTTCGCGGGGGGCGGGGGCTGGAAAACGATGGAGCGTGAGTTTGCAAATCCGTCCCGGCGTCTCATTTACCAAACACTTGTAGCCGACCTCTGCCCAGCAGGCGCCACGAGGAAAGGACACGTCACGGAACCATCCATCCTCCATTAGATGCTGGCTTTTGACTTGGACGGTTGGCCTGCGAGGCAGATCTGCGTGTCCCCCCCTTCCTGGACTTCCCTAGGTCGCCTTCATGTCGTCCTGGACAGTGTTTGCAGCACGTCGCCCAGGCGCTGCCCATGTCCGTATGTCCGGCTGCCCTTTTGAAGTCGTTTCATTCCCGCTGACATCATACTGTCTGGCTCCGTGCCTTTCCCTGGAGTCGGCCCCCAGACACGACTTGGAAATGAGCACAAATGGTTGCGCGGTGGTGGTTTTTTTAAGTGAGCGTTTTAAGCAAGCAGGTGACATTTGGGTGCACTTGTTGGTTGTCTCGGGCACCCCGGCCGAGATGCAGAGCAGACTGCGAGCCGCGGTGCCTGCCTTCCGAGGCGCCTGGAATGACCCCCTCAAACATGTGGGCAGGCGGAGTGATTGGTCACAGCTTCCTCCCTAAATAGTTCTGCGTGGATTTCACCCTGGTTACCTACCTTTCCAACTAGAAGTGAGTCATTTTAATGTAGAAACGCTACTCAAATCATTCTTCCTTCAAGTTGAAAGAAAAAAATATACAAGCTACGCCCTGACCGGTTTGGCTCAGTGGATAGAGCATCGGCCTGCGGACCGAAGGGTCCCGAGTTCGGTTCCAGTCAAGGGCATGGAAAGGTGTCCACAATGCACAAGTTTTGTTTTGTTTTTCAGGGGGAAGTTACTCATTATGGCATGATTCCATTTGTGTGCTTGCATATGTACATACAGAAAACTTCTGAAAGGGTGCAAAAGAAACACTTAGCAGTGGGTAACTCTGGGGATTAGATTGGGTGAAAGTGCAAAAAAGAGAAGGGAGATTTTTACTTTTCATTTATGTGCTTCTGAATTATTT